GGAAAAGGTGCATATACACACCCATACACGTGATCACTCCAGATATAAACCAATTACCTGCATCACACACAGGCACATACACAAATGCACACAGGAACACATGGATACATGGATAACACAGACGAAGCTGAAGAGGAAATGAGATACACATGCGCACACAGGCGTGACCCGTGCATACAAGACGAATGGACAAAGCCTAGCAGAAAATGGTTCTCTCCCTGTTTACAACATACATGTTCTCATGCATAAACCAGTGTTCCCAGAGGAAGGATAGCTCATGGAGTCCTCACAGGAACCTAAAATTACACAGGCAACTCTGACCCATCTGGTCTACAGATTGAGTGCATGAGCCATGGAAAGAACGAATACAAACATATGATACCTTGCCTTAAGGCAACTGGTAGCCTGTACCCCTTCCTGAGACACAGTCTGCATACCTACAGTGCCTTCCATGGTGATTAGCTTATCACCCAAGCCATTCAGAAGTTAGGAGGGAAGAAAGGAAGGAAGGGACTTCCCCATAGGCCAGTTGTGGCACTTCGTGACACTGTCCCTAGGTCATGCTACCTATGATCCTTCCTATTTGCTCCCCATCTCTGCTGTCAGACTGACACCCACAGGAGTCAAAAGTACCTACAGTTTCTTGCAAACAGTCCTTCCCCTACAGCTTACTGAAACCAGATGGGTGTAACTCCTATGTGAAAAGCTGAAGATGCACTCCCCCAGGGTGACTGTGGACAGGAAGGAATGGACCCAGCACATCAGTTGGGTCAGCACAGGACAATGAATGGGCCTTACCTTTAGCAGAAGGACAAATTCTCCTACAGGGTTTTGATCCTGTGCCTATTTCCATAGTGTCTGGTGCTATGCTGTAAGACACCATGTAGCCACTGTGTCTACCCAGGGCTGCCTGGGAACCCTAAAGACTCTCTGCAACATCAACATAGTGACCAAACCCATCAAGTTATTCACCTCAGCCTGGCTCTTAATAGCTTGTTTCCCACCCGTTATAATGCTGTGGAAAGAATGACAACTGCCCTTCCCTCCTTCTGTACCTCAGCTGGTCAGTTGGAACTGGGTTTCCTCTTGGCTTATGAGTGTTGAGCAAATGAGGTCATTTCTCCTCAGTGACAGAAAACTGTTTGGTCAGTGCGGTCTGTGGGGAAAGAAGTTCATCTCAGGCAATGGCTAGGTACCCCTGAGCTCCAAGGAGACCCGAAGAACTGCTGCAATCCCTTAAAGAGGAGGTCAGGCAATGGCAAAGCAAGCTACCACACTAACACCAGCTGGGGAGCACAGGAAAGCCAGGACACAAATGCAGCTGTAACTGCTGCCAGACCATCTAGCCACTGATGCAAATGCTAGAGCAGTCCCACAGTCCCTGTCACCTCCAAAGTGCCAAGCCTGACCCATATGGGGCTTTAAATACAGCCTTCCTCTGGATCACAGCTGACCCAGCAGAGAGAAGGGACTGGAGGTGGGTCGCAGCCCTTTGGTCTGCTCCCTGAGCTTTGCACTCTGCCATTCCAGCCCCAAAAAGAGGACTTCACACCCACACACCCAGCGTAGGAGATGGCTCCCATGCCTTCAGCCTGCTTCCATTCAGTGGCTGAAATCCATGTCCTCCTTAATCCCTCTTCCCACCTGGAAAGGCATTGAGGAACACTGACCTCTGCCCCCAAAGAACCCCAAATAGAGCTCAACACTCCCCTGTAGCTCAGCATCGGGACCAGCACGAGCAATCCCCACCAGCAGAACCCGCAGTGCTACTGAGGATGCTCCAGTTATCCCCATACCTGCTGGCAGGCTGGGATCCCTCACTGCTCCATGGAGAAGGAAAGCAAAAGCTCCTCCATTCCCAGAAAAGGGGATATTTTCCTGGAACACCTAACCTGTTCCTGTCCTGCTCTGGTACCCAAGCATGGGTGGGGGCTACAAGTGTGTTTGGGGGACACCACATGCCTCTCCCAGACCATGGCTCTGCTCATCAGCTCACCAGAGTGTGAGGACAGAGGTGTTCCCTGCATGTCCTCACCCCTCCTTCACACTAATAACAGAAACAACTTAGCCCAGGCCCACACTTGGGGACCTGAGGACCCTAGGGGAAAAAACACACTATTTGAGATGAGGGAGAGAGCAGCCGGGTCTGTGCCTCTCAGCAAATGTGCTGATGCTTTCTGACACATCTGCTGACAGCACTGGGAGGTTTCAGCAGGCCCTGATGTGACCACCAGCTTTTCTCCCAGGTGAGCAGGGCTCTCCACCACTCTTCAACAGAGTTAGATGAGGCAGCCGCACTCTGCCTGAAGCTGCATCTGGCTTCTGACATGACCCAGGTAGGAATAAACGCCACGGACATCATTGTCACTATGCTTCCCTCCCCTCTGCTTCCCCCCCTGCCTGTGATTTCCACCTTTCTGATTTTACCCACAAGCTGCCCCCCAGAAAAACCTCCACCTCCATATGCCCCATTTTCCCAAACGCCCTCTCTACCCTCCAAGCGGCTTCTGCTCCACAGCTTAGCTTTGCACCAGCACAGCGGATCAGGCAGCGTATTCCCAAATACCCACTTTGCCTGGAGCTGGGTGAAGAGAGGGAAAGGCCATTCATTCACACTTCTTCCTTTGGTGTCATAGCTTTGGGGGGGGGAAGCAAAGAAATCAGCTTGCTTCATTCTGACATATCTACATGCTGGTGAGTTGGATGCCCTGAAAGCAAACCACCTCCCAGAGGAAAACAACAAGGTGAGGAGGGTGGCAACTGGGGAGGGGGCTGGGGGAGAAAGATTTCTAGGCTGGGGAAGTCAGTGGGATGGAAGTGGCTGTTTCTCACCACTGGCACCACGTCAGCACCCCTCCACTCCCTGCAGCTTCCTCGCTGCTGCTGGTACGGTCTGCATAGAGCAGGGAGGCGAAAGGGGGGCTCTATTTAAATATATTAATAATGCATGTTCCATGCACATGAAGCTTCCTTTGAATAGAACATCAGTGATGCTGTCAGGCCGTGCTTCCTGGGACACAGGACTGTGTGGGGACAGGGTGGGGGATGCAGGTCACCAGAAATGCCCTTCTACCCTGGCACAGTCCCCTTCCTCCCCCTTCACCCCAGCTCCCCACTTCACACACGCTCTTCTCCCTCCCACCTCCCAGTGCATGACAAATTCCTTGGCTCATAGCATGCAATGCAGCCAGGCTTCCCAGTCCCCTAGGCCCCCTCCAGGGACATGGACCCCCCTGCCTTCTCCCCACTCCCTACATAATCTTTACCCCTCCCGGCTCCAATCTCAGCAATCCTCTCCCCGCTCCATGGTTTGGTTTATAGCTCCCTACCTCCAGGGTGGGGAGAAGCGCTGTGCTCTCCAGCCTTGAAGGGAAAGGAGGGGGAGCACCTCCTGAGTCTGGCCTGCACATGGGCACCCACTTTTGTGTGCACACACCAGTCCCCAGCAGCAGACGCTTGTGTGAGCCTATAGTGGGTGCCAATGGACCGCGGGCTGTGCATGGCTGCAAGATGCACGCGCCCGCAGCGCCCGAGCGATGCTCTTCTCCCCATCACCAACACTTCCTTCCCTGGGTGCCTTCAAGGCTTGCAGGCATAGTGTTTGTACACAGCCACCCCTGCCTCCACACACACACACATGCAATATGCACATGTGTGCTCGCAGGCATGCACAGAGGTAAGGTGCATGCACACCAGCACACACAGGAGAGGGCATTACGCACAGCAGCTCCCAGATATGCTGCCCGCTGCAGCATTAGCAGATTTATACTGCCTTTACCCAGCCAGATCCGAGCTCTGGAATGGGAACAGCAGCAGCTGTGCACTCCTGCCTGTCCTGGGATGAGAATAGGATGCGTCTGTCTGTCTCTCTCCCCCACCCCCATACCTCCTCCTTCCCCCTCCTCTTGCTCCCATTCATTCATTCAGCTTCTCCTCCCCCATCCCATGCTCCAAAGCAAGAGGCTCCTTATGCATAAAAATGTGGGCATGCTTTTTATGGTGGAAAAAAACCCCAAAATGGTCACGCAGACCCCCTGCAAGCAATGCATATGGACATACGTGTGCATTTGAGTAGCTGTCCTGGGCCCCTACATAAACACCCAGCTCCCTCCGCCACCACACGCACACTCACACACCCGACAGACACCACGCAATGACTTTTCTGCAGCCAGTCAGCCTCCCAGCAGAGCAGTGTAAAAGCAGAGCAGAGATTTACTCACTCCCCTGCATCCAAACCAGGCAAATGTTCACACGCCACACACAGAGACAACACACACACACACACACACACACACACATCACTGTCTGCAAAGGCTCCCTGGCAAAGTTTGCTAAGAGGCAGGGAGCAGGGGGCTGTGGGATGAGGCTGGCTCCTTCTGCGGGCAATAAACCTATATGTCAGTGTATCTATACCTGTATGTGCACATGCATGTATATAATATATGTATATAATAGACACATATAAGTATACACACACAGAGACACACGCACATACATACCTATACATACATACACACATATGCCCTCCTCTTGCAAGGTTTGAGTAGAAGCAGACCAGTCAAACCCAGCTGCATGCAGCAAGCCCTGATTCTATTCAGCATCCTGATCCTAAGCGAGTTGCACACACACACACACACACACACACATAGAAAGGGGGACCTATCTCCAAGCCTCCCTCCCTCCCATCACCCCGTGTAGGCATCATCTTCCCTTCACCCCTGGGCACTTCCCCATCTCCCATGCACTCACCCCTTGCCTTCATCCTCAGCTCAGAGACATCCACCCCCCCCACCCAGGGGGTACATGCATAGGCTGGAGGAGAAAGGCAATCCATCCATCCTGCCTTTCTCCCCCCCCACCCCGGTCCTCCCCCTCCAATCTCAGCCGCTTCTCCGAGAGGCGACACGGCCAACAGGGAGCCGAGGACACGCAAGGCAGCTGCACCAGGACCGCACACAGAAACGTGTCACACACACACACACACACACATGCAGACATACCTGCTTCTGGAGGGGCGATTGCGCCCTGCTTCCATACCGGGCATGGCAGAGATGAAGTAGAGGCACAATAGACCCCTGTCTTCTAGCAACTTGGAGCCCCACAGGGGTGTGTGATCTTAATGGGGGGGTCCCCCCCGCCTTGTATCAGTTACCCCTGGAGCTGTGCTGTCCCCTGCCCCACAGCTGCCTCATTCCCGGCTGCACCTAGGCAGCGCTCCCAGCCACGCACACACGCGAGCGCGGCAGCAGCAGTCCGGGGAGGGCACGCACAGCCGGAGGATTTGCTGCCTTCGCCGCATCCGCATCACTGGGGGAAGAAGGCAGAAAGGGCTGTATTGGCATTTAAAACGCAAGTGATTAATTCTCCACAGGCTCGGCTGATAGGGCTCTGGGGGCAGAGCCGGCGCTGCTTCTCCCAGCTGGGAAGGCTGTGACAGGAGAAGGTCCCTCTCCCATAGAGCCAGCTCCGAGCTCTCCTTGACTGCACAGCCACTGCTTGGGTACAGGCAGAAAGGGGTGGGCCTCCACCGGAGACATGAGCACGCATGCAACAGCTGCTGGGAAACTGCACACACACACACCATTTCCTTCCAACAGCTGCTGAACAGCTACACGCAACATACAACAGCTTCCCAGGAACACACACAAGCAACAGCTGCTGGGGAATCACAGTCGCGCACACACACAGAGGATACGGCTTCTCAGAGCCAAGTCACTCGCGTGAAAATACAACAGCATCTAGGAATGATGCAGGTACGAGTAATAGCTCCTGAGGAACTACACACACACACACACACGTATGCATGCAACACCTCTACACCTACTGACACAGGTATGTGGAAAACTACAACTTAATATATACCCCTGTGGTATTCACTAGGAAAACTGACATACAGAAATGCAACAGGAGGTGAGAGAAACCTTTCATCCGCACACAAACACAAACGTGTGACTGCTCTGGGGAGTCTGCCTTTCATACAACCTTCCTAAATCACCACACACAGAAATGCAACAGCTCCTCAGAGATCACCCTCAACCACGTTCCTTCAGGTACATGCGACACTCACTGGAAGAACTTCCACCTCCCCGTGCCCAAACCCACACATGCCAGTGCTGATGGAGATCTTGCCTACAGTCAGAAACAGCCATCCATGTGTATCCGGTGCTAGGGAGCCAGGCACAGCTCAGCCCCCAGATACTGCACACAGGTCTAGTGGAAGGTGTCCCTGCCCGTGGTATGGGGTTGGAACTGGAGGAACTTTAAAGTCCCTTCCAACCCAAACCACTCTGTGATTCTATGGTTCTCATATGGGCTAGGAAAACACCTTACCAAACACAGGGGGACTCTTAAGAAATGATTGCCCAGCCTGGGGCATGGAGAGCACAAACGCACGTGACAGTTAGACATAAACAATCCCTGCGGAGGGATGTCTATGTGCAGACACACAGACCACAACTGAAGGGACACGATGCATCCCTCGCACTCACCACAGCTGTGGAGGGACTGCCTGTCTCACTTGCGTATGCTCAGACAAGCAACAGCTGCACAGGAACTTGGGAACACAGGGCATTGGATGGGAGCTGGCTTTCTGGGATGTGCAATCCAGTGTCCTGCTATTCGAGGCAGCCACACCATAGAATCATGCTCAGAAATGTCTCCAGGTCCATCCTAGCCCTGTGAGACCTCTTGCTCCCTGCTCACAGGCTGTTCTGGCCCCTGGCCATGCTGATGTTAGAAACCTGCCCAACACCTGCATTTACTCATGACCAATTCACACTCACATGTCCTTGTACCAGCTGTCCTTCACAAAGGCATGAATAAAGGTTGCGAGAACAAATGGAAACGCTCCAAAACCTCCACTTGCAGCTGAACAGACACCATCTGCACCCCTGCCTCACACAGACATATGCAATACATCCACGTGAAGACATTCCTCCCAGCACAAAGATCAACAGCCTGCAGGAAAAGACACCTAACCCTGCCGCTGCAGCACTCACATGCACATGGGTACGGACATACAAGCACTTGTAACCTCTGATGGGAAACTAATGGCTTTCTTCATGCAGTCCAAGAACTGCAGAGGAATTACTCTGCCACAAACCCCCATTGCAACCAGTACTATTATTAAATGTGTTAAATTGTGATGTCCAGTTGCATCTAATGCATCACCCATAGCCCACCTCCCCGTCCTGCTAGTTGTTGTGTAACTACAGAACAATGTAGCTACCCCATCTATCTCACACTTGCAGATCTACAAGGGGCACTGAGCACCTCTGACCCACCTGCATATTCTTCTCTCTGTTAGTAGAGAAATAACCCCATGCAAATCCAAACCCAGCAAGTATGGGGCTGCTCCCGGCCTCCTCACATGCATACAACATCCTCAGGGATGGGACACCAAACCCACAGACTGAAGGGGAGGGATGGGGACTGCAACAGTGAGACAGGAATGAGTTGCCTGCGTCAAAACACAAGCAACAAGTGCAAAGGACCCATCTGTAAAACTAGCCCCAGGCATCACACATATCCATAAGGTATAATCACACAAGGTCAGCCCTGTTGAAAAGTGGCACACAGGAAGCTTGCTTTAGCCTCTTTTACTCAAAATCTGCAGACCCAAATGGGAAAGAACACACAGCCCCACACACTGTGCTCGGAGACAGGAGGTGAGCAACTCTGAGGACACTTCTGGATGTTCCCTGAACCATCTGTAGATGTCTGTTCTCATAGATTAAATGCCAGAGCTACTCGCTCCACCTGGGATGAGAGAAGGGAGCTTATCTTGGCAACTCCAGACTCCGTTTTCTCGCCTTTATCACTTTGGGGGTTATGACTGTAGGGTTTTTCCTCCAAGCTCTTTTGAAGCTAAAAGCTAAAGGAACAGAGACTTGTTTCCGTCTTTCTCTACCTCCTCCAAGGACAAACATGATCTAATCTTGGAGGGTGTTGAAGTAGGAGAAAAGGTTTCCAACTCCAAATTAATGCAGGATTTTCTCCTGCTTGAGTTCCTTCAGGATCATCTTGCAGTCTGTTCAGGATGAGACTCCTAGAGGCTCTCCTGCTGGCATAGATCGATTCGGGACTGAGAAGTGATGGGGCAGGATCTTTGTGCTGCCAGTGCCCATGGGGGTCAGACAGTACTTGCTCATACTCCCACTAATGTAGGAACAACACTTAGATCCAGCAGAACAGAATTGCTCCAAGAAACAAGCAGAAGCAAGCACCACATCCCCAGCGATGTGGGACATCTGGGTCCTCAATCTCATTCAGAGACAGAACCCCTGCTGCTTACTTATCCCATTGCAAACGATCATTCAGAGGATACTGATGCTCACCCTCATGTTTACGTTGCAGATGCTCTGACCTTGTCAAAAGTGCTGGAAAGACTCTGTTGTTTGTTACTTCACAAGTGAAAAAAAAACCCTTAACCAAGAAAAAAAAAGCTTCCTAAGGACGTCACAGATACTTTAAGTCAGCTGCAGAGGCACCTCATTCCTGATGTCCAAGCCTACGGAAGAATAAGCACCTCCTAATTCTTTTGTGCCAGCATCTCGGAGACCACCACCCTCCAGCCAGGCTTGAGCTCTCTGCCCCCTTAATGGGGATGGGAACAGCCCCAAGAACCACTTTGGTTTACACCTTTGTTCTCAGCTGCTGCTCTGTTAGGCTGCTACATCCTCTTAAGGCTGGAGATGCTGTTAGGGGTGAACAAGGGAACTGGATTTATTAGAGCGATTCCCTAGTGTTATTCCAACATACGCCAGGGAGCTGTTAAGCCCTGGAATAGCCCAGAATCTGGGAGTCACAGAGGTGATGATAAACATGATTTTTAAACCTCTGTGCACAGGCTGAGGGATACTGAAGGTAATGTTCAATGTGGATGGCACCTCTAGGAGAAGGAGTAGTGCAGACAGCCATTCCCCCTCTCCCCTCCATGACTTGGCCCTTGTGCCATTTGCCTGCACGAGGAGGGAAGAGTCAGGCAGGGAAGGCAGTCACGCAGTCTGCTTGCGCTGCCTTCGGTGTGTGCTGCCAGCGAAGGGAGTCTCGCTGGGAGCGTTTCCAGCTCATGGAGCCGGCAGATCAGCCCTTTTCCCTCTCTTCCCTTGCCCATCTGCCATCTCCCACAGGGGTACCACCAGGTCCCTCGGCTGGGGCCCCGGGAGAAGGCTGGGCTCTGCCCTCGCTGCAGTCAGAATCTCTCCACTGATCTATACTGCGGTGAGCAGTGACAGATTGATTTTACAGCTCTGCTTGGAGCCGGCCGCTGGCCCTGGGCTGTGGATGAATCAGCTTTCTCTGGGCCTTGGCTTTTATTTCATTATTTTACTGCAGCCTCCCTCACCGGCAGCTAAAGAGAGAGCGAGAGGAGGAAAGGCAAAGTTGGCAGATTTTCTTCCTTGCTCGTGTGCTCCCAGCCTCACAGCTTGGCTTTGAGACTCCAGGAGGAGGGAGGAAAGGGACTGTTTTCCAGGGACTGACAGCTGTCAGGAATAAAGACATGAGGCACCTTCTACATCAGTAGCTGCACATTGCAATGGCTGTGTGCACTACAACGGCAAGTAGTGCGTAAGCGCTACGTGGCATGAACAGTAATGTTATGCCGATGCCTCCTTCTTTGCCAAATGGAGGAAAGCCCATTTTTCATTACACGGGGCAGCGCGTTTGGAAATCACATCCCATAAGCACGTTGGGCATTAACCTGCCTACAGGATCCAGGTTGGGAGAGCTTCCAGGTCCTCCCCTAATAGCTGTGGACCTAGGGAAGGGGCAAGAGCTGTATGCTGCTGTCTCCATCAGGCAAAGAGGTCTCTGAGCATACCGCAGCTAGGAGATTCTCCTGGGGTGAGGAAGCACCTCCAGGCATGGAATCAACCTTATTCCCTCTCCTGGCTATTATGGGTATTGTAGACATTACCTGAGGGGAAACAGGCTCAGTCCTAACTCTGCTGTTCATTGTGCCGTCAAGAAAAGCAATTGTGAAATCAAACAAGGAAGGAATGGCATAATCAAAGGGCAGAAAAGTGTTGGGTTTTCCAGCCCTGTTCTGGAACTACAGTGGGACAGTTCAAGCCCCATTAGCAGAAGGCAGTCTGGAGCAATTGTTATTCTGTGGAAAGGCAGAGAACGGAGGGACCAGCCCAAAGTGTCACAAACATTCCTCTCCACACCCCCAGTACCTCAGGAGTAAACAGGGGCAAATTTCTGCTCTGTCAGACTTGCTGCTGAAAAATCCCTTTGTCAGCTCTAAGATCTACTTTGGGGTCCCTCACCTGCCCTACAAGAGGAGTAATAACCAAAGGAACCCACAACCTGTTGCATCTGCTCCAGCCTTCTTTCTACACGCTCACCCCCCAAGAGAGGCTTCACATAACCATGGGTGCTACCTTCATTGCAGTGGATTCAAGATGCCTTGAAGCTTTTCTTTGCCTTGTCCCAGAACTCTCTAGCAATATAGGCTGCCTGGGGAAGCAGGGTCCCTCAGAGGAGAAAT